TGCACGAAGTATTGTTTATTGATGCATATTACTTAAAATTTAAGATTACAAGTAAATTGTGCATAAATACAGCTTATTAAAACTCCATATTTGAATTCATGTAACTCACTGCAGATATACATAATCAAATATTGGATAAACATCTCATTTTAAATATAAAAGATCTAAAATATAATTAAAATAATTATTGAGTTGTTACAGGATACTTAGTTATTATCTTTATAAAAAATCATATTATTGAACCTAAATTAAATTTCTTTGTTAGTAAATCTAAATTAAAAAAAAATTGAATTAAGGAAATTACACCAAAACACAAGAACTTTTAAAAAGATTAATTTGATATTGCTATCGATATTATTTTTTTAAAAAATTTTATGATATTTTCAAATTTATATTTTATTCAAAAATAAAAACATTATCGATTTCTCAAAACCACATAAAACAATATTATATTGATATAAAAAAGAATAAAACAAAACACTGAAATCAAAATGTGTCTCAATACATTGCACGAATACCCTTCTAATTTAATATAAATGATATTAGTTTTGAAAGTTTGGTAACTTTTTGAAACCTTTTGTTATGGTTGTCAATTTATACGACCAAACATACCCACTAATAATGTTTGAGTCTTTGCTAGGATTTTATATCAACAATATTACGTTTATAACACGTCTAAAATTAATATCTATAAATGTTATGATAAAATATTTTATAGGAGTTAAATTTATATAACCAAACAAAAAATATCATATCTAAAAGTGTTACAATATATTTATAGAACATTTTTAGACATTTTATCAGGTTTTCAACACATTTATGAGCCGTTTACTAAACTCTTACTTGGTAAGTGTTTAACGCATAAATTTTCTCATTGGATGAACATGAAAAGGGTCAAGAATCTCACCGGGTAAGAGCGATGATAAAATGGAGAGTCTTACCCGGTAAGTGAGGATGACGACTCTTACCCAGGTAAGCGTTTACCTAGTAAATTGTTGCATTTTATATATTTTGATGTACTAAAATCTTATATATCAAAATAAATTATAGCGTTGACTCCTATTGATAAGCGCTTACCGGGTAAGCATTTGGGTAAACAACCCCTTAGCCTCTGTTCTCGGGGTTTAATGTCATATAGGGACTTGACATACTCTTTTGACTCCGTTTTCAAGGACATGCTGAAATCTCATATTGACCTGACCTGATCTGACCTGACATGACCATGTAACTTGTATATAATTAAATTACAATTTTTTTTTTTATAAAATTCAAATAAGGGGTCGTTTGCTAAAGGTTGCCCGGTAAGAAGTCCCTTCACTTTACACGATGAACATAACAAAAACCAAGAATCTTACTCGAAAATAGCGATGACAAAAGTCGACACTACAACAAAATCAGGTTTATAAGACACTCCCAAATTCTAAGCGTCCTAATAGACATCTTTATAGGAATTAGTTTATATGACCAAAAAAATAAAGTGTTATATCTAATTGTGTTGTATTAAGTTTATATGACGTTTTTTTGATGTCGTAATAAGTTTTTTAGGACACTTTTAATATAAAGCGTCTCATTATCAACTTTATAGGACACTATTTGAAAAAATGTCCTATAAAAAACAAGTGTCTTATAAAAATTTGAGTTATAGGACAATTTCTTAACAGTGTCCTATAAAGTTGCTAATGCGACACTTTGTATTAAAAATGTTCTTAAAAACTTGTTAAGACGTCCAAAAGCGTCATATAAACTTATATATTACAACGCCTTTAGATATGACACTTTATATTTTGGTCCTATTAATTAAGTCCTATAAAACGGTCTATTGGAACACTTAAAGATTGATGGTGTCCTATAAACCCAATTTTGTTGTAGTGCGAGAATGTTACCCGATAAATGAGGTTGACAACTCTTACCTTGTTAGCACTTATAGGATAAATTGTTGCATACGATGTCAGTTTGATGAATCAAAAATCTTACCTAATAAGTTAAGTGAGAATATTGACTTTCTATAAACACTTATCGAGTAAACGTTGGATGATAAACCAACCCTAAGGGGCCGTTTACCAAACGCTTAATCAGGTAAACGCTTATCAAGTCATATTACCTTACCGGATGAACATGTTAAGGACCAAGAATCTTACCCGGTAAGAGGGAGACAAGGACCGGGAGTCTTACCCGGTAAGTGAGGGCAACGACTCTTACCATGGTAAACACTTACTGGGTAAATTGTTGCATATAATGTCGTTTTGGTGGACAAAAGTCTTACCCAGTAAGTGGTAGTGTTAAATTTTATCAATAAGCGTTTACCAGGTAAGTGTTTGATAAACGAACCCTAAGTTCACGGGCAGACCTCATGTGGTGGCATGGGTGGCACGTGCCACCGTATTATTTCGCGGCCGAAGGGTAAAAAATTTAGGTTTGTTAACGGTGCTACCGTATCGTTTTAGAAGGTGCTACCGTATCGTTTTAGAAGGTGCTACCGTATTTCCCTGAAATCCAAATGGTGCAATTAAAACCCAAACAAAACAAAGCCCAACTAACCAAAACCATACTTTTTGTAATTATTTTTGAGTATATATTGACCGTTTTCAAAAGATCAAGACGCGTCGGGTACAAGTTTAGGAATTGTTTATCGGTAGACGGTACTATAAAAACCATATTTTTTGTAATTATTTTTAGATGTATATTATACTATATTAGTTATATGGTGCCACCGTTTTAAAAAATTTATGGGTATTCTTTAAATTTTCATTAGTATTCTAAAGATTTAAAGGGGGGCTCATTCAAACCATTAGTGGAAAGAAAATGGGTTTGAAACATGACTATTTATAATTAACTAGAAGCGTACTCGCGCAATGCAGCGAGATACATCGTGTTTTTAATATTTTATTTTATTATTTATCTCAGTCGATGTTATAATATGACTTTATGTGATTTTGAGAAAGCGATGATATTTTTATTTTTGAATAAAATATATGTTTGAYGATATCATAAAAATTTGACAAAAATATATCGATATTAGTATCAAATTAACTATTTGAAATTCCTCATTTTTTTGTATAATTTTTTAATCCAATTT